AAAATTTATACATTAATCTTTGATAGAATATGACTGTCAGATCAGTACATGACCATGTTCGAAGACTTTCTGCTTTTCTTTTTCTATTTTGTTTGATATGCAATGTGGCAGAAACAATGTGAGAGAGGTCTTGCATCTGCTGGATCATTCCTCCAGTGTCTGCATCAGCCAGGGTTCAACCCTTGTAGGCTTCCTGGTTCTGGCATGGTGCTAGTCCCTGCTGATGTCTCACACCGGAGTGCCAGTTTAAGTCTCACCTGTTCTGCTTGCTGTCCAGCTTCTTGCTAATGCTCTTTGGAAAACAAAGGACAGTAGTTCAAACACTTGAGTCCTTGCTATCCATGTGGGAGACCCAGATGGAGCTCGTGGCTTCAAACTGGAATAGACATAGCTGAACCATCAGGTGGAAAAATCTCTATTTCCCATTTTCTCTGTCACATTGCCTCACCAATAAACAAAAAAGTCATATCTGGTGAGCATGAGAACCAGGCTAGGGGTGGGTCTGGCTAGACAGTTAGTGGCAAATGCTGACATGAGTGTGGACCAGCGAGAGGGGTCAGTTGGGTTGATCTAGCTCCAATGCCCAATGATGTGTAGCAGAGCAGAATGGTATGTGGGACAGACTGGACCAGTGTGCTGCACGTACAGGAACCAGGACTGAGGACAGGCCTAGTGGGGATTATTGAAGATCGCTTCAACTAGGCTGTAGTTCCCATTGCTGTATGTGAGGGATGAGTGTGAGGTGGTCAGGGTTGAGCTAGGCCGTAGCATCCATTGGTTTACATAAGAGACAGGGCTGGAGACAGAACCAACCCAGCAATTGCAAGGCTGTGTATGTGTAGGCTGATGGGGGTGATGGACAAAGCTGAACCCTGCACTATCAAGCACACATAAGAGTCTGGTCTGGGATCACTTCAGATGAGGTTTCTTTGGAGACTCAGAAAGCAAGTCATAGAGAGAATTACAGCACCTGTGATCTGACTGTGGAGTGCAAGTGTCAGAACTAGGTCTCCTCAGTGGCTTAGACAAAACAGTGGATGGCATACCCAGATACACATGGAGGATATGACAGTCCATTGGAGCCTGCACAGAACATCAGGGAGGAAGACAGAATAAATTGGTCAACTACCCAGCCAAGCATTGACAGCAAGTATCTGGGGTAATGGAAAGTCCAAGATGGATTATGTTAGGCAATGAAACTTGGAAGGATTTTCTGATGCTTGGGTTGGCAAGATCACATTTCAAAACTATCGAAAACACTTCAGCAGAATCCTTGGAGCATGCTCCACATCAGGGACCCTGGGATGACATCAGGTGGTCATTCCCCATTCCTGGGTACTGAGGCAATTGAAAGGTTGCATATGGCTTCTCCTCTTATCTTCCCCCTTCCCCTGAGTACACAAAGAAGAAAAAAATTTTTCTGAAAACAATCATCTCACCCACTTTGCTCTAATCCTCGACCCTCCCACTCTGATTGATATATAAACATCATCAAAAATAAATTTTTAAAAAATGTATCTGTTTATTGGAAAGGCAATGAGAGAGAGAATGAGATCTACCATCCTCTGGTTCAGTCTTCATGTGGCTGCAGCACGACTTGAGCTGAAGCCTGGAGTCAAAAGCTTCATTTGTGTCTTCTAGGTGGGTGGTAGGGGACCAAGCACTTGGGTCATCTTCTGCTGATTTTCCCAGACTAGGGTGCTTGGTCAGGAGTAGAGCAGCTGGAACATGAGCCAATATCCCTACAGGATGCCAAAGAGACAAGCAGTGGCTTTACCCACTACTCACAACACCAGTGCCATATAAAAAACGATTTTGTTTTTACTGAATTCTCTGCTATGGGTGGGGAGCCATCACCTGCTGCCTTCTAGGTTATGCTTTAGCAGGCAGTTGGATTGAAAGCAGAGGTGGCAGGTCTCGAACAGGACATTCCACCATGGGAGTCCCAAGTGGTATCTTAGCCACTGTGCAAACGTTCACCCTGAGATTATGCTTTTATCAGGAAACATTTTAAGAAATTAACCTAGGAAATCTGATACTACAGTTGCCATAGTGACAGTCCTCCATTGTTTCTCACTGTGTCCTGTGGTTAGTACTTGGGGTCATGTTTCTTCATACCCTGGAGAATTAAGTTTTCCTCACCTCATTTTTTTTTTTTGACTCCTCACTAAGAAACATTCTAACTTCTGTTTTTACTTTGCCTAAGTAAAAAGAAAATACTGGTCATAGAGACAAATTATTTCTCATAGTAAATTGAAACTTCTTATAGTTAATCAACAGGGCACATGCTTGATATGAGAAATTCTATTCCATATTATGTTAATATTTTTCATTAAGAATGACTAAATTAGCATGCGAGTTCAACTGGCAATAAGCAATTTAGTTCATGTGAATCAATTGCTCAGTGCATCTCCCCATGCACTGTGCTTCAAAATAGAAGGCTGAATTTGGGCCTGCCTTTCTTAAGACAGAGTCCACTTCTTGTTGTTGTACTTTTGCTGATTAAAATACACCTCTATGCAAAGTCTCACGTGAGGAGATCATGCTAAACTTGGGGAAATGTTTGTTTTTCTTGAGAACTACGAAACTGATCATCATTCCTTTCCCTGGCCTTTTCCTCTTCAGAATCAGGAAGGTAAGGGGGAGAAACAGCAAAGAATCCGTTACAGCGGCCTGCATTGTGGTGTATTGGGTCAAGCCACTACCTGCAGTGCTGTTTACCCACTAAGCCACAACACTCAACATACTACTATTTTATTGCGTCTGGGACCTGTCTTCTTAAATTCTATGTAGAATTAATAATAAAAAAGAAATGTCTAATTTGTAAATTCTGTGTGAAATTAAACTAGGCTTCAAGAAGCAAAATATACAATTGGGAAGAGAAGGAAGAGAGGACAGAAAGAGGTTAGATAAATGGCACTAAACGACTTCAGAAGTTCTCAACATACAGAAATGATTAATAGTGTTAGAGGAGACATAAACACTAATTCTCATTTGATCAAATTATACTTTATCCCATAAATACTTATAGATATTGTACGTCCATCTTTAAAAAAAATGATTGAAGACATAGTTGACATTCTGTGTACAACTCTTCAACCCCAAAAACAAAATAAAGGAAATGATATTTCTTCAATGGCTATTTGTTACTGCCCTCTACAGGTTGAAGGAAAAAGTGCTGGGCCACAGCATTACTCAAGAGACCCTCATCCTATTTGGGAAGCTACCTACAAACAGGCTCCATTTATTCTCAAGAATTTCCCAATGTGTTAAAGATCCCTTGTGGTGAAAAGATCTCTCTCTCTTTCTCTCTCTCGTTTGCTGTGTGTGTGTGTGTATGTGTGTGTGTGTGTGTTACAATATGTAAGGAGGAGTGATCAAGAGAGAAATCTTCCATTTATTAATAATTTCCTAAAATAGCCACCAACAGCCAGAGCTGATACAGGTTGAAGCCAGGAGCCCAGAGCTCTATGTGGTTCTCCCACAGGAGTGGCAGGGACCTTGGGCCATGCCTTCTCAGGTGTGATAGCAGGCAGCTAGAAGGAAACGGAGCAGCTGGAGTGATGCTGTGCCATGGGGTGCTGGCATTCTGACGGCTACTTACATCCGTGCACCACAAGCTAGTCCATGTGCCATGATCTCTGGGAACCTTAAGCCCGATTTTCACTTGACCTCCCTCTCTCTAACATCCATGTGCAAAATGGACACAAAAGCTTTCTTTTTCAAGGCTAAAGATCTCTATGATAAAGTTCCTTCCAAATCTGGGTCTGGAAGAGAAAGAAAGAGAACAAAGATCCAAGAGTTACAATGACATAAAGATGCAGACATTAAGCAATTCAATTTATCTGTGCTGGCAGACAAATGTAAATAAATGTTGGACCCCCTGTAACACAGCCGTCAGATAATAAGAGATTTTGCTTCTCTTATTATTAAAAGTGTAAGACATGCTGCATGATAACTACCAAATGCACATCTTCAATGTTAGGTACAAAGAATCCTTGGTTATGCCTGGATTATTTCAGTCATGCCACTTTGTATGAATAGCAGTCCTGTCTGTGATGTCATCTTCTGCAACAACGGTACAGAATGTATAGGCATATTGTGCCAACCGAGCCTAGATCAATGACCTGAGTAATGCAGTCTGGGTAACACTATTATTCTTCATCAAAACCCTCCAAGCCCGTTGAAAAATACATGCTAATCTGATGCATGTTTCAGGAATGTGTTGCGTGGGAAAGCGAAGTCAAGCCCTTGTTTAATTTGATTTGCATTTTAACATGTACTCACAGAGAATCCATAGCAAAAACTAACATCATATGTGCGTTGGGATATACTATTTTATTTTTGTAGCAGGCTACATAGCTTATTAGCAGTCACACACTTGCTTGAATAAGAATGTTTTTACAGAGGTTATCTCCTAGCAAATGGATCTCCAAATGTGTATTCAAGTGGCATACCAGTAATTCCCACAGCTGTGAATCCGAATGATTAATAGCATTCCTGATGGAGGAGGCAGTGCCATCTTACTGACTGGAGTAAAGACAATTTTGAAGGATTTATAAGGTTTTCGTTCCATCGGCACTTGGTGTCACACCCAATTGATTTCATGGTATTTACTGATCTTCCTAATGAACATAATATGGACTTAAAATATCAAGCATATTTAAATGTCTAACACCTGAAAATCTCAGCTTTCTGAGGTGAAAAATGGTTCTTCAACATGTGCGCAGCGGAGACCCAATGAGCCTTTGCACTGGTTTCAAACACACACCCAGCGCCTTCTAGAATCAGGCAGGTGAAGCAAAGGGGCTGAGGGGAGCACCGTCTTTGAGGCCGGCACATCCGGGACACCCGGAGCTAGGAGGACGCCCCGCCCCCAGGGTGGCGTGCGGGGGCGGTCCCTCGCCGAGCCCCGCCCCGGCCGAGCCCCGCCCCATCCTCCTCGCCGGCCGGCCAGGGGCGGAGCCTCCGGAACGCGCGGCCGGAACCCGTGGCATCCTGGAGCGAGGGCAGCTGCCATGGCCGACGGCGGCCGGACGCCGCAAGCCCGTGCGCTCCTCCAGCAGTGTGTGCACGCTCGGCTGCAGGTTCGCCCGGCCGAGGGGGACGCCGCGGCCCAGTGGGTGGAGGTAACGTCGGCTCCTTCCTGCGTCGTCGCGGTGCCCCGTCTCCCTCCGTGGTTCGCTGCCGGGTTCCCCAGCTTGTGCGGTGGGCGGCAGGGGACCTCGCGGCCGGGGTGCCGAACGAACACTCCCTGCCCGCCCGCAGAGGAAGACGGGGGCCTTCCTGGGTGTGAGGACCACGGAGGTGTAGACCTCCTCACGCCCCGTGCTGATCCGGTCCACGTCAGGCGTGGCCGGTGAGGGGTTGGCTTGGGCTCCAGATGGCCCCGAATGAGCCACCTGCAGCTGACTGCAGCTTGGGTCTTTTCCGTCCTAAAAAGCAAACTATGGTACTTCGAGAAACCGAACAGAGGCAGAATCTAATCTCTTCCCGACTAAGATACAAAGACCACCACGTTTATAAAAATGGAACATTGTCCTCGGACACATTTCCTCCAAAGAATTTGAAACATGTCAGTGCTTGCATCCTTGCCTTGTTCAAGACAGCCTGCCCCCACTCCAGGCAAGAATAAGTCAGGTGTTCTTTAAAGCTCCTGACAGATTTGGGGGAGTAACTGGAAATGCAGGAAGGCAGTTTGTTCATAATGAAGAGTTTCTGAGGTGTCAGAAATTTGAATGTGGGTCCCAGATCTTGGATTCCTCAACACAATCCAAGTCATTATTTGAAATATCACCCTTGAACCACAGCGTGCCGTGCTTGTTGGAATCTTATTGTGTGCTGTTTTGACACATATAAAGTTGATAGGTAGAAAAAAATCCTATATTCTCCCCTCTTCTCAGAAATTCACTTTTATTTCTGTTGAGCTTTTGTTGATGGACGAAAGTCTGCCATATTTGAAATTATTTTTCTTTTTGCTGAGCTGTCTAAAGAAGCACTCATGTTTGTAGTGGCCTCCTATCAATATGAATTCCAAGCTAGTAAGCATTTAGGCTCCTTCTGTGCTTCTTATATTCGTTGTGCTAGAAAAAAATCCTACGTGTTTTATTGCAGGCTTCCAAACTATTGGCTTGTGTTTGTAAGTTTCGGGTTTTTTTTTTTTTTAAGGCTTTCCCTTCTACTCCCACACACATGAGTAAATTAAAAAGCTGACAAGTAATTAGATGTTAAGTGTAAATTCTTTCTTCTTTCTCAGGCACTGTTTGCCCTGCTCCTCATGAAGAATTCTTTTAGAAGCAGTTTTCTGATTGACCAAACATGTGAAGGTTATTTTGTTACTGTGTCTACCATTTAGTACTTGGCCATCACAGATAAAATTTTTTTCCCCCCTGGAAGTTAGATATTTCTAAGCTACAGTGAGAAATCTCTGTACTTTATAGGATTTTTTTTCAAGAAATTCTATTTGAAAGGCAGAGGGACAGCGGGAGAGACCTTCAGTCTGCAGGTTCACTACCCAAGTAGCCACAACAGCCATGTCGGTGCCAGGCCACACCTGGAGCCAGAGATTCCAACCTGGTCTCACCTGGATGACAGGGACCCATGGACTCAGACCTCCTTCTGCCGCCTTCCTGGGTATAACAGCAGGAAGCTGGATCTGAAGCGGAGCAGCTGAGACTCAACCCAGTATGCCAAAGTAGAATGCCAGCTTCAAAAGCAGTGGGTGTGCCACAATTGCCAGCCCCTCTGCATATATACATACATATACACACACGCACGCACACATATATATAAAGATTTCGTTTATTTGGGGTTACTGGCAGAATGTCTCAGTTGGCTAATCTGTCTCCAAGCACCAGAATGCCATATGGGCGCTGGTTCATGTCCCAGCTGCTCTACTTCCCATCACTGCCTGTGACCTGGGGAAAGTGGAGTACAGCCCAAAGCCTTGGGACCCTGCACCCACGTGGGAGTCCCAAAAGAAGCTGCTGGCACCTGATTTTGGATCTGCTCAGCTCTGGCCGTGTGGCCATTTAAGGGAGTAAACCAGATGGAAGCTCTTTTCTCTGTTTCTCCTTCTCTCTGTAAATCTTCCCTGTAGTAAAAAAAGATAAATCAGAAAGACAGATCTTGCTGAGCAAAGGTATTTCATCACTGATTTATTCCCCCAGATGGCCACAATGCCTGTAGTTGAGCTGATCTTAAGCTTGGAGCCAGGAGCCTCTTGCAGGTCTCACTTGTGAGTATAAGGTCCCTAGGACTTGGGCCATCCTCTCACTGTTTTCCCAAGCGTTAAACGGGGAGCTAGATGGGAACTGAACAACCAGGACACAAACCAGCACCCATATGGGATGCCAGCGTCACAGGATGGATGATTACCTCGCTGCACCACTGCACTGGTCACCCCCTATATTTTTCTATATACAATCTGGCCTTCAGTTTCTGTGGTTTATACCTTCAGGATTTCAACTAACCTCAGATGGAAAATATTTAAGGGGGAAAAAAAAACCCAGCATCTTTACTGAATGTATGCTTTTTTTCTTAGCAATTCTTTAAAAAAAACTAAAAATTTTTATAAATTTCTAAACTAGATAGTTTTCTTTTTCACAATATAGTACAACAACTATTGCATCATATTTACATTGTATTAGATATTTAAATGATCTAGGTAAAGCAGAGGAGGAAGTGCGAGGATTGGGAGCATAGCCTAGTGATTAAAATGCCCATATCATGTGTTGGAGTCCCTGGTTTTGAGACCTGACTGACCCCTGCTAATGCAGATCGTGGGTGGCAGTGGTGATGGCGCAAGTGGATGGCTCATTCCAGCACAATGTGTGAGAGCTGGATTGAGTTTCTGTCTCCTGACTCAGCCCCACCCTAGTCTGGGCTGTTGTAGGCATTTGAGGAGTATGCTAGCAAATAAGGCTTCTGTGTGTCTCAGATAAGTATTTTAAAGGTGAAGGATGTATATAGGATATATGCCAATAGTATGCCTTTTTATAAAAAGGACTTGAGTATTCACCAGAGGTCCTGGAGCTAGTCCCTCATAGATAATGAAAATGAACTATATTTGAAATATTTTATACCAAAGAAGCTACAATGGAAGTGGTTGTGATTTGAAGAGAGGCTTATCTTGATGAGAAGGTTATGTGGTTAAGTAGAATGAATATGCATAGGCTTAAAACCTTGACCCATGCCAAAAGCAATACCAGGGGCTGGTGTTTTAACCCAGCAAGTTAAACTGCTGCCTGCAACACCCACCTCCCATTAGGGTGACTGTCCCGTATGGCTGCCAATCCAAGTCCCAGCTGTTCTGCTTCCAATTAAGCTTCCTGCTAATGCACCTGGGAAAGCAGTGGAAGATGGCACAAGTTTGGGGGCACCTGCACCCACATGGGAGACATGGATGAAGTTCCTGGCTCCTGACTTTGGCCTGGCCCATTCCTGACTGCTGGAAACATTTGGGGTGTCAACCAGCAGAAAAAGAATTGTCTCTCTGTATCTCCCCTTCTCTTTCTGTAACTGTCTTTCAAGTTAATAAAATAAAAGTCTTTAAAAAAAAAAAAAGAGGGAAAGTGGAGCTGGGTCATGGATGCAGGGACTGCAGTGTGGGATGTGGTTATGCAAAAGATGACTTCATCATGGCACAAAATGTGCATTTCTTTTTTTTTGTTGTTGTTATTTATTGCAAAGTCAAATATATAGAGAGGAAGATCTTCCACCGCTGACTCACTCCCAAAGTGGCACAACGGCTGGAGCTGAAGCCAGGAGCCTTTTCCAGGTCTCCCATCTGAGTACAGAGTCCCAAGACTTGGGCCATCCTCATCTGCTTTCTTAGGCCACAAGCAGGGAGCTGGATGGGAAGCAAGGTCTCTGGGACACAAACTGGCACCCATATGGGAAATCGGCACATGCAAGGAAAGGACTTAAGCCAGTAGGCTACCGCACCAGGCCGTTGTTCCTTTTCTGTGTCTCTTCTATAACATTTCTATGGTATTAAAGCTAATAAATAAATATCTAAGTCATTATCTAAAATAAATACCTTTAAACTCCTGATAACTAACTAAGTTTGTGATATAGAATTTGTCTTGGGTGCCATTGGTGACACAGGTCTAAAACCAGTGGACGTCAGCATCGCGTATGGATACTGGTTTGTGCTCTGGCTGCTCTGCTTCTAATCCAGCTCCCTGCTTATGCATGTGGGAAAGCAGTAGAAAATGACTCAGAAATTTGGACCCCTGCACCCATGTGGAAGGCCAGCATGAAAGCCTTATATCCTGGCCCTGCCATTTTGGTCATTTGGAGAGTAAACCAGCAAATAGATCTCTCCCTGTGGAATTCTGCCTTTCAAATAAATGAATAAATTTTTAAAAAATTACTTATGGGCCCAACACTGTAGCCAGGCAGCTAAATTCCTCACCTTGAACATGCCGGGATCCCATATGGACGCCGGTTCTAATCCTGGCAGCTCTACTTCCCATCCAGGTCCCTGCTTGTGGCCTGGAAAAGCAGTCGAGGATGGCCCAAAGACTTGGGATTCTGCACCCGTGTGGGAGATGTGGCTCCTGGCTTCGGATTGGCATAGCATCGGCCATTGCGCTCACTTGGAGGAATGAATCATCGGACGGAAGATGTTCCTCTCTGTCTCTCCTCCTCTCTGTATATCTAACTTTGTAATGAAAATAAAATCTTAAAAAAAAAACCCTACTTAATTATCATAAATGTAACTTTCAAGGCCAAATTATTTATGTTTAAAGCATTAACAATAATAATAATTGCTCTGCTTCCTGGAGTTGTACCGAGTGGATTCTTCTATGTTAGTAAATGGATTGGGGAGATAAGGAGTGAGGCTGTCAGAAGCCGTTCATTGCATGTGGGCCCTCCAGCAGCCACATCCGGTGTAATGTCAGTCCGCTGGTACTGAATAAATAGGGCCTGCAAACCGACTGAGAGTGTCCAAGTTTGTCAGTCTTGTCTAATGGAGAGGAAGCTGGTTGACAGGCTGAGTGAATTTGATTAGGAGTTAATGTTTAGAGGTATAACTTTGCTCTTTAGTGCTCTTGGATAAATTTTAAACTTAATGAAAGGTGGATTAACAGGTGACTGAAATTTGAAAGATTTTTGTTTTCTCATGTATTTTAGAAATCACTTTGTGAAATTTTTGTCTTTTTTTTTTCATATGTGTCAATAACAATTGTGAAATTATATTTAGGTAGCTCCATCTCTCCATACAGATGTCTTTCTAATCTGAATTTACTGTGTTGATTTCTCGCAGGTTGAGAGAGCTTTGGTAATCTATGTATGCTTTTTCAAGGGAGCTGACAAAGAGCTTCTTCCTAAAATGGGTATGTAGTTGATGTTCTTTTTTTTTTTAAGAGTGAAAAAGAACACCAGCAGACAAATGAATCAGCAGTGGTAAAAAGCACGAGGTGTTTTTAAAAATATGTGATTACTTACTTGTGTATTTAAAAGGAGGAGTGACAGCAAGAGAAGGAAAAGCAAAGGGTGCGCAGGAACGAGAGAGAGGTTGATTTTCCATCTGCTGGTTTGCTCCCCAAATGGCCACAACATCCAGGGCTGGGCCAGCCTGAAGCCTGGAACTCCATCCTGATTTTGCATCTGTGGCAAAGGCTCCAGTACTTGGGGGATGCTGATGTCAGAGACGGCAGCTTGACCTTCTGTGCCACACTGTGTGGTAGGATATGTCATTAAATTATGTAATTCTGTCTAGCGTCGCAAACTGTCATTATCTTAGTATTCCAGAGCTTAAGGGAACATAGTGAAATTCTTTTAAGATACATGCAACATTAAAGGTGGCATTATCGATTTTTTAAAGACTTATTTTATTTTTATTGGAAAGTCACATTTACAGAGACAAAGATCTTCCTTCCGTTGGTTCACTCCCCAAGTGGCCACAATGACCAGAGCTGAGCCAATCTGGAGCCAGGAACTTCCTCTAGCTCTCTCATGCAGTTACAGGGTCCTAAGGCTTTAGGGCGTCTTCTACTGCTCTCTCAGGCCACAAGCAGGGAGCTATAAGGGAAGTGGAGCAGCCAGAATATGAACTGGAGCTCATATGGCATCCCAACATACTGCAAGATGAGGATTTAGCCACTAAGCTATCACGCCAAGTGTGCTTGGGGCCAATGTGGTGGTGTAGCGTGCTAATCCTCTGCCCACAGTGCCTGCATCCCCTATGGGTGGCGACTCATGTCCTTCTTGAGTCCTTCTATTCCCTGCTTATGCATTGGGAAAGCAGCAAAGGATGGCTCAAGTCCTTGGTCTCCTGTACCCACGTGGAAGACGTGGAAGAAGCTTCTAGCTCCTGACTTTAGAGCTGCCCAGCTGTGGCCATTGGAGGAGTGAACCCAGGGATGGAATATCTCTCTCTATGTGTCTCTCCCTCTCTGTGTAACTCTGACTTTGAAGTTCAATAAATAAATTAAAAAATAATAATAATCAGAGGGCATGCACTTATATACAACCCATTTGAGCCCAGGATACAGAAACTTTTTGGAAACAAGGTGGCCACATCAGGAGAAATAGGTGCTACATGTCTTAATACAGTATTCCTTACCCTCCGGAGTCCCTTACAGGGATAGTGGATGACATTGTAAAAAGAAGGGGCGTCATATCAGACCTTGCCAACTCAGGCTTAAATTATTGTTAAGAAAACTTTACTGACTGTTCCTGCTCTTATTTGTTGTATATATGTTGAAATATAAGGTTCTCCTGATTCTTGATTCAAACTCAGTGTCACCACAGCCCAACCTCCTACAGGGACGTGGAAAGTAGAGCCATGTCCAAAGATCTCAGCAATAATTAACCTGCCTCCAATTTTCTAGTACTCTGGACAGTTTTTATCACTGCATATTCATCATAATAATTATGTTTTTTAGATGAACCAAATCAAATCATACCGTGTCAAGATAATACTTGGCTATATCAATTATGTTACACATACCAGAAAAGGGTCAGCAGTGTGGTGCAGTGTGTTAAGGTGCTGCTTGCCGTGTTTGCCGTCCAGTCTGAAAGGTAGAGTAAGCTAGCAAGATGAGATTCTCTCAACTCCATTTCATACTTACTACATGGATTCATGATTTGGTCGTTCCAGTCAAATCATGTATCACTTGGGAACATAACGATTAGTTGTATTTAGAATGTCTGAAATAGCATAGCTAACATAGAGATGTGTAGAATTTTCCTCAGTTCATCTTTTGTATAGTTGTATAGAGATTCAAGGACCTATACAAGCTTACCTTTCCATTTTCAACATTGTAGGCGCTTGATTGGTAACCAGGCTTAGAACCTTTGCATTTCCAATGTGTTATTAATTCATTGTCTCAATTTAATTCTGTTTTATTTGCATTGGGTTGACTTGTGCGTACTTACATGTATATACTAACAGTGTTGAGTTCTCATTCACTGCCAGTAGAGGGAGGTGTGTGGAAGTGTAATAAACTGCATTACCTCTCAGGCATCATATTCTAAAATTGTCTATGTAATCCAAGGCCTGGGTAGCTAAGGAATGATTTCCACTGGAATAGAGTATTCTGGAGGGTTACAGTTTCCTTAGAAAGAAGTCAGTAAGAACTACTGGTTTCATAGTAAACCCTAATTGTAATAGAGAAAATTGGAGTTGTTTAAAAGACGATGGTGCTTAAAGAATAGCTTAGGAATTCATTAGTTTGTGCCCTCTGATGATGTTTACCAATTCCAGAGTTTGTAAACTGTGACAGTCATGTTAAATCCTTTCTGATATTTACTACAAACTCTGATAATTAAAACAATTGACCTCCTTCCCAGAAATGCCTTCTGAAACCTAATTTTGGGAGCAGGGGTGTGGGGCTTACCTAGTGTTAGAGATTTATTTACTTATTTGAAAGAGTTAGAGCAAGGGAGAGACAAAGATAACTTCCATCCGCTGGCTCACTCCCCAAATAGTTGGTACAACCAGGTTTGTTCCAGGCCTGCGTCAGGATCCAGGAGCGTCATCCAGGTTTGCTATGTGGGTATAGGGTCCCAAGAAACTGGGCCATCTTCCGCTGCTTTGCCATGAGCATTAGCAGGGAGCTGGACCAGAAGTGGAATAACCAGTACTTGAACCAGTATCCATATGGGACGCCAGTATCACAAGCAGTGGCTTAACTTGCTGTACCATGATTCTGTCCTCTTACTAAATTTTTTTTTTCACCTTTGTCCTCTCAGGATGGTTCTTTACAAGTGAGAGTCGTTCATACCTTTATAGAAGCAGAGAAACCTTAAACCTGTTTGTATTAAATACCATACTTATTTATTGTTTCGAAATGATTGTGGTTGAGGTATAATTGTCTTCCAACATTGTTTTAGCTGCACATGAATATTTATGATTTTTACACTTACTAGCCATAAATAATCTCATTAATGTTATATAGGTGATAACATCATATTTTCTTCCTTGTATATAAAGATAATGCCAGAAGCTCCATGTCTTTTGATATACTTTTCCAGTTGTATTGATTAATTTCTGGTAACTCTTGGTTGTACTTTTGCCCTTTTCTCCTGGGTTGTATTTGTAAAATATGTAGTGCTCTTAAGGCTATGAAACCACAGAGTTGACTGGCTTATAGTGAGATTGAATCTGGAACCTTTGTGTCAACTTCAAACTCCAGGCAACTATGTTTAAAATAATAAACACACTGAAATTTGTGTTTGCTATTCTTTGCCAAGAAGCAGAATTTGATGTGGAAAAGTTCATTAGTCATAGTCTTTTCCAGGGGGATTTGCTTAAAATGTAGAACAAAGAAGTAAAAGCTTGTGGGAAAGTTTTCTACAGAATTATTTTGAAAACAGATTGATTTATTCATTCTGTATTATCTGCTTGATCACTTGAAGTGAATTGCACTTTCTTTGTTAATAGATATTATAGACTAAATATCCTCTTCCCCCAGCTTGCCCCTTACCCACAGGCAACAATGTTTAAGGTTCTAGTATACAGTGAATTCTTTAGAACTTTCCAGATAAATTTAGTGTTAAGTAATGTTAATTTCAAGTTAAATTTAAAGCATTATGTCATTTTCTGCCTAAAAGTTGCCTTATTTTTCATGCTAATAGCTTAGTGAAGCAATTTTTTAAAATCTAGGTAGAGACTTTACAGGTATAAGCTGAGGGGCCGGGTGTGATGCTGTGTTTTATGCCACCTCGATGCAGGCACACCAAATGAGTGCTGGTTTAATTTCTGACTGCTCCACTTCTGATCCAGCTTCCTGCTGCTGCACCTGAGAAAACAGCAGAACAGTCTCCTAATGTCTGAGACCCTGCCACCCACACAGGAGACCAAGGTGAAGCTCTTGGCTTTAGTTTGCTTCAGCCTCAGCCATTGCAGCCATTTGGGGAGTAAATCAGCAGATGGAAGATTCTCTCTGTATCTCGCTTGGTCTATAATTCTGCCTTGCAAATAAATAATAGAGTAAACATTTTTTAAAAACCTAGTTTAAAAGAGTTTGAGCTGACACATCAGACCTAAACATGAAATTTGCCAAGAAGGTCAATGATTTCTCCTTTCTTGTTTTTTCACTTTCAAGATGTTTTGTCTTTCTTCCCCACCCAGTTAATACATTGCTGAACGTGAAATTAAGTGAGACAGAAAACGGCAAGCACGTCTCTGTACTGGATCTGCCTGGCAACGTGCTTATCATCCCTCAGGCCACCCTTGGAGGGCGAGTGAAAGGAAGAAGCATGCAGTATCACTCGAACTCTGGGAAAGAAGAAGGCTCAGAACTTTACGCCCAGTTTGTGTCTTTGTGTGAGAAAGAGTTAGCTGCCAACAGCAAGTGTGCTGAAGCCGGGGTTGTGGTGAAACATGGCACTTACGGGAACCGGCAAGTGTTGAAGCTGGACACCAATGGACCATACACACACCTGATTGAGTTTTGAACACATGAAAAATTTACTTTCTATAGCTGGCTTATGGCACAAAAAGACCCAGACTATAACTAGATTTTCTTCTCCTTCACCTTCAATATACTGTTCTGCAGCATTTTTAGGTAGGAAAATCCTGGGACCCATAAGTAATTCTGCATCCTAAATTCAGGATCTCAGTCACCTCTTGTCCTGTTTTTCTCCAGTTTGCCATCCAAAAAAATTGAAAAATACTGTCTGTTCATTGAATACTGACTAGGGAAATCTTAGCCATATTTAAAAGCATAGTTTAAGTATTTTATGCAATCAAGAACAAAACATGTTTATGCCCCCGACTTTACTCAGTATGCGATTAAAAAATACCTTTGTGTTAGAACTAGTAAAAACCAGCATAAACCAGTGATAACCTTGTGAACTTTGTTTAGTTGTGGCAGTTTTCTGTATTTGGAATGAGTAATACGTATTTTACTTCCATTTAATATTATCTATAAAAATGTAATCTTGAAATGCATTATATTATTTTCCATAAACATCCAAATGTTTTACATTGTTTTAAGCATCTTTAATTGATAAAAGAGCAAGATATAAGAGTTTTAAAAATTATTTTTATTAAACTTTCATAAAAATTAGTTGATGTTCTATTTTTCTTTTTTTACCAAAATGATGTATGTCTTAACTTTCTGTTACTGGTTTTTAAAAGAAATTCTACTTCACAAGATTTTTGCTGGTTCATAAATTTTTCAGCATGCCCTACTGTTGGATAAGATTGTTGTCAGAGTAAGAAAAGAAGTTTTCTGCAGGAATACTTTGGAAACAAATTGATTTATTCATTCTATATGATCTGTTTGATCACTTGAATCCAGTGGCACTTTTTTTTTTTAGTCTGTGTAACAGATTAAATGTCCCCTTCCCATTGTGTTAATATTTGCTTTTGGGCTCTTGAGATAATCAGGTTTGTTTGGAGTTGGTCCCTAAGATAGGCTAGATGGAAGCCATCAGAGACTCTCCCACCCCTCTCCAAGGATATAGCAAGAAGGCAAGTCAGGACAAGACCTCTCGCCAGAAACTGGCCATGCTCACCCCTTCATCTTGAAATGTTGGCCTCCAGAACTCTGAAAATCATTGCTTAAACCACCTGGTCTGGAGTATTTTGTAATAGCTCACTGAGCTAAGATAATAAAATAGCAATGTACAGCTAATAAGTAACTTGCAAAGGTAAAAGAGAAACATAAATAAGAAATTAGAAAAACATACATTAGTGAAAAATAATACCCAGTTTTTGCAAACCCCTCTGACCTTGCAAAGATGTTTTTGAGAGGCAAGACCAAATAATATTTCCAGTTTACAAGATGAAGAAATAAGCTTGAATAAACATCTTAAGTAGCTGCAGAAAATTTCTTCATTCTGATTTCTTTAGGTATCTTTTCTAAGCCACTTAAAATCTAATACCACAAAAAATCCTATTTTTTCTATACCCTTCCTGTACAATTCTATTTTGAGATTTGAGAATCAATAACTGCCTCTGTAATGAGCTCATTGTCCCTAACTCTTGCTTTATTGATTCACAATATACTTACTGAAATGTAATAAACTACTCATAAACTTGCAAACTCCCAGTTCTCTCAAAGCTACTCCTGAAAGCTATGTATGTCTTTCAGAAAGATTATATTACCGATTTTAAATCATTTTGACTTTATGTCTAGGTAAAATGCTGACTCACAGTCCTAGATTGCCATTTTATAGTTCAGGCAATTTTCTTTCTTAAAAAATTTGCTTGAGGTATTTGTAGAGAACAGCAATTTCAAGTACATGTGATAGGTTATTAAGCAGAAGATGATGACTGACTTTGCTTCATTTACAGAGAAGCTGCAACAAGAGAAATGGTAGCTGTGAAAATAGCTACCCCTTGGCTGGCTCTTCAACTTCAAGATACTCAAAGAAACTTCAATAGATATGCTCATAGTGTATCTATTATGAGAATAGCGCCCTGAGAAGTAAGGAAATAAACAATACTTAAGTAATTTTGCCAAGGTCACAAAATTAGGAGGAATACTACTTTTTAAGATTTATTTATTTTTATTGCAAAGGCAGACACACAGAAAGGAGGAGAGACAGAAAGATCTTCCATCTGCTGATTCACTCCCTAAGTGACCACAATGGCCAGAGCTGAGCCAATCTGAGGCCAGGAGTTTCTTCCAGGTCTCCCACACAAGTGCAGGGTCGTCCCAAGGCTTTGGGCTGCTCTGGACTGCTTTCCCAGGCCACAGACAGGGAGCTGGATGGGAAGTGGAGCAGCTGGAATACAAACTGCAAAGTGATGATTTAGCCACTAGGCTCTCATGCCAGGCCCCAAAATAAATAAGTCTTAAATATAACTTTCTGATACCTAATAATTTCATCAATAGAGCAACTGATATATAGGCAATTTTAGCCTCCCTTTTCCCAAACTTTTCCATGTTATTGAATTATTTGGTACTGAGCTAGCTAGTGTTTTTCTCTTAAGAAGTGTAATAAAATTTAGCCTTTATCAGACTGTGAAAAGATGAATTTATGGGGAGAAAGCACCACATCCTATGGAGCAGTCAGTGCCCTTAACTGTTACTGTTATGAACCTTGAGGCTTCGGAAAGTGGGGGCTTTTTCCAAAGGGAAAGTTTGAAGGTTTGTTAGGAAACGTCTGGCCCACTCAAGCACAGCTAATCCTTGGCTCCCCCTTGGAGATAATGTTTACTTAAGCCTTGTATTATTGTGGATAGACTTGCGGGCCCCATTTCTGTTCCCTGCACTCTTTTGATTGATATTGAAGCCTCAAGCAACGTTTGCTTAATGCCTGGGTTATCTTATCTCTTGATTCTGTTATGGTTTTTGGTTTTTGTTTATTTTCATTATGTCTTTAACCTACATGTTGAAATGTTTGCACATATGCTTGATACTGCATCTTGAATAGCCATTCTCTACTTAAAGTTTGTTGTCTTTACAATCTGCAGGTCAGCAGTAGAGTCGGGAGCTGGGTGACATTTTTCAAAGTAAGACCCTTAAGCTCAAGAAACTTGTATCAGTAAGAAACATGCTAGATATAGAAACGCACCAGGTTGCTGTGGTCTGTGACCATTGAATGAGGCGTTCTATACAAACTGTAAATCAGAATTCTCAAGAATGGCTGTTCTCTGACATTAAAGGGTTAGCGAGCTCTAGCTGTACAGTACCCAGGTTCTCAACTTTGGCTCAAGCAGTCATTCATGAGCCAGTCTCAGGATAGCAAGCAGCAAGTGTTTCATTGATAGAACACAAGTGCACACTCCTGGTCAGAGTCCACGGTCTCTGGGTTTTGTGGAAATTATATGGTTGTTTAATGAAAGAGGAAATGATACATTCTAATGAAGGAGAGGAAGATTTGTGGCTAGCCACCAATCCTTTTCATTTATATTTTCACTTTTCCTGTCTTGGTGGGCTGGTGGGTGAGTCATTTAGCATACCAATGTGTTTTAAAGAGCATATAATGCTCATTAGATCAATTTAGATTAGTCTTAGCCCTGTAAACTGGTAGGAATCTGGTGGTCTAGGCGGGGGGCCGTTCATCTCCAGAACAAGAGGAATCAAACTCTCAGCCAGTAGACCTTGAGATAATAGGAACTAGCTTGGGTGGCTCAACCATTGCCACCCTGTGTCGGAGAGGCTAGCCAGGAACGCCCCAGATGCTGGAACAAGTTCTGTATCTATCAGCAGCAAGGCCAAGAGAATTTTTATAATGAGAATTTAGGGGAATATGAGAACAAATTCTTTTACCCTGAACTTAGCCAATGTTAAGAGGGTAGTATAATGCCAGTAGGAGAAAGTTTGGGTCTGGGAGGATGGTCAGTAAAAAGGTTCTGATTTGCTTGGCTGAGAAATCTAGAGGATCTGTAGTAAACCAGTGGTGCCTGGTGGCTAGCCAGCGTGGGAGTCTTTTATTGCCTCGGCCTACATCTATCAAGTGACTCACTTTCCTTATCTCTCCCTCTCTGCCTTTTGGCCTTAGCAATTAGATTTAGGACTTCTTTTTTTTATGATGATGATTTTTAACTGCTCTAGATATAGGTAACTGCAGAAGGAGAGAGCGTGTCTGTGCAGTGGCAAGTCACTGTTAAAGGCATGGCAACTTGAACCTTCCATTAAAGAAGAATTTCTATGGCAAAAGAGTAGGGAGATGCTTCAAGTTTTGCAGGGATTAATGAATCATAAGGTACCACTGAGATTTAAAGAGCTGAGCGACATCATTGAAGCAGGTTGAGGAGCCTTGGCTTGGTAGTGTGGTACATGCGGATTACAGGAAGAAGAGAAGTTGTAGCACGGCAGATTTCTGTTTTGAATACTGGAGACAGGAATTGATTAAAATTCACATTTCACAAGCTGTGAGCAGGAAAAGGAACACAATTAGAGATCCCTAACAGAGTTTTGAATAAAAAATACACTTCAGAATAGTTAATTGGTTAGCTACTCATAATGGGGCTAAAGATAAAGAATTAAAAAAAATAAAAAATTTTGTGTGCACTTTCTTGCCCTCTCTTTGCCTTTCAAATAAGTAAATTTAGAAGAAGGAGAATGGAAGGAAAAAAGAAAAAAGCGAAAGAAGAGACAGAGAAGAAAAAGCAAAGTGGATGGGGCCTCATTTGTGATTTCATCATCCTGTACCTACGCACTGGAATGAGTCCTGTTAATTTTGCTTCCAACCCAGCTCCCTGCTGATGCACCGAGGAAAGCAGCAGCAGATGGCCTGTGTGTCTGGGCCCTTGCATCAATGTGGGAGACCTGAACGGAGTTGCAGCTTTCTGTCCTTATCCCGGCCCAGCCCTGGCTGACAGAGCCATTTGAGGTGTGAACCAGTAGGTAGAGATCCCTCTCTCTTCCCCCTAACTCTGCCTTAAAAAAAATAAGCAAATATTAAGAGAGAGAGAGAGAAGTAAATAGAAACTGATTAAAGAACTGGGGAACTGGGCACAAACATGTAGTATTTGTTTCAGGAATTGGAGGAGCAATCTCTGTGGAGCATGAAATTGAATCACTACTTGAATGACGAGAACCCTTCCTGGAGTGCCTGGCATCAAGTCCTGCCTCCACTTCTAACCCATCCGCCACTTCTAGGCCAGCTAATGCAGCTGGGAGGCAGCGGGTGATGGTCCACATGTTTGGGTTCCTGACATCCACCTGGGAGGACCTGAAATTCTTTTTTTAATTTTTATTTATTTTTTTTTTATTGGAAAATCAGATCTACAGAGAAGGAGAGACACAAAGAAAGATCTTTGTGAATCATTTGCTGATTCACTCCCCAAGTGGCCGCAACGGCTGGAGCTGAGCCAGTATGAAGCCAGGAGCCAGGAGCTTCCTCTGGGTCTCCCACGTGGGTGCAGGTTCCCAAAGCTTTGGGCTATCCTCTGCTGCTTTCCCAGGCCACAAGCAGGGAGCTGGATGGGAAATGAGGCTGCTGGGATTAAAACCTGAGTCCATATGGGATCCTGGGAAGTGCAAAGAGAGAACTTTAGCCACTAGGCTACCACACTGGCCCACCTGTCTAGTCATCCATTTCAAGAATAAGGTTATTTTATTTCCAGGTTTTAAAGTTCATTC